CACATGGTCAGAATGATCATCTAAGCAGTACATATATATATATTTTGGATGCTAAAAATCATTTTGAATACTTTCTAGATACCAAACTATATTAAAATAAAACTTTAAAGAACATACTATAATACCAAAAAAAATATATGTATGTAACTTGAACTATTTAAGCGGTATTTCGAACATCGTGCATATATATATATATATTTTTTATTTGACTTTGACTTACTCGCATCGAACATCTCCAATACAATCTTGACTAGCCTTATCTTTATGACATATATGAGAAGTTGAATGGAATGTACATTGATCAGAGCAACATGGACCTTTGGATGGACTAAATAAAAACAAAAATTAAATATATAAAAAGATTTTTATTGAATATTTACCTGCAACGAGCACCTGGTTTTAATTTACAACCTAATTTAGCATCAGGACCACCAGCTGGATAACAACACTCATCTGTACATTCAGATATAAAACCACAATCACATTCTTCATTATCTTCAACATTTCGATTTCCACAATATCCAACTTGTGAACATTCTATTAAAATAAAAATAAAAAATTTATTAAAATTATTTTCTCTAATACCTGTTAAACAATTAATTTTTCCCGCAAGTTCATTTTTAACAGAAATAACAACTGGTCCCATTTTATCCATACTACAATTTGAAAATTTATTATTATTTTCTTCAAGACCCGTTGTTGCTCGTCGATACATTATATAATGACCATAAGTTGCATCACCACCACATTTTTCATCATCATGCTAAACGAAATACAAACAACTAATCTCTATGACAGAAAAAAAAAACTTCTCTATAGACATATGATATAATATACGAACCTCAGCACCTAAATTATGTCCAACCTCATGAGCAAATGTCAATTCTGTCATCAATGATGATGTACGTGTATTATGATTGATAACAGTTATCATTCCTGTATTAAGTGTTTTCATAACACGTTGTCCTTCATAAACGTCTTTCGCTGGTTTTTCACAAATACCACCACGACTATCTGAAAAAATTTAAAATCAAATTTTGTTGATTCAAAAATTAAAACATACTTGAAGCAACACTTCCCATCCACGCTAAACCTAATGTTCCATCACCAAAATCTCGCGCAGCAAATATATATGCTAGACAATAATCAGCAAAATCTTCAGCTGAATGCCATGTTAATAAAACATTTGAATCAAGAAATGTACGACAAATATTTGTTTCACTTAAACTTAAATTTTTGTGTCCACAATCATCAGGTGTTAAAATCTAAAGCAAAATTTTTGACATATAATGTACTAAACTTACACTAGAACTTCAAAATTTTACTTTCTTATTAAATCGTAATCTTGACATATTTATTCGATCTTATACTTAGTCTTGAAGACTTTTATTCACAAATTCAGGAATGTAATTCAACGTAAGCAGAATTAAACCTTTGGTAGTAGAATTGGCACAATGGCTGTAATCAGAGGATGACTGAACAATACATCACGAATATGAATGAGCATCTTTGGTGTACTCTCACACTCATATCTACCCTGAAGGCTTCGTTTCGGAGACTTTAAGAATTAATATGTCATGTGACGAATTGTTCTATCACCTAGTCACAGACGAATTCCCTGACGCTTCAAAAGAAAGCATACCACAAGAATAGGGGTCAAACTTTTTCTTTCATGAGAATATTTTTCCTTTACTATGTCTTGTGTCTTTTTCTCTTTAAAGGAAAATGCTGTCTATGCACTTAAACGAAATTCAGCCATGCAAATCTTTACTTAAGCTTTAATCATATATACTGGATGCTCCAAAAATAACTTGACAGTCTTTGATTGCGAATAAGATAGATAGCTGTGGTTTTCACCGTTCAAAAAGAGAAGATGAAGATGCATCGAACTATATAATATAAGATAATTTGATCTAGTTTTTTCAAGGGTCTAAAACGACGTTTTTTGGAAACCAATGCACTCCGTAAGGTGATTATACTGAATGTTTTATGATCAGGTATGCATTCGAACCACTAGTCGAAGACCTACAAAATTGTGAAAAGCTCAGACTTTGAGAATTACTCCTTGAGAAATTATAGGTATTCTACTCGAAATTTTAAGACGATTCTTCTATTAATTTCACTGAAAAAACGCTTTTTGGTTTTTTCCTTATTTTATAAGAAATCATTTTTCCGACAATTTTCATAGAAAATTTGAGTAAGAAAACTCTAAAAAATATCTTAACAAAACCTATAATATATGATTCGATGTACCGTCATCTCCTCTTTCGAACGGTGAAAACCGCAGCTCTCTATATTCTTTGTATCAAAAGTTATTCGCAATCAAAGACTGTCGGTTTACTTTTGAACTACCTTGTATGTCGATCACCGACAGATGCCCACAGTGTTTAGACAATAAGCTAACACTAGTATTTTATCTAGTGTGAGAGTGGTGTACTTCCAAAGTTTGTATTTAATGTGCCACGCACAATGCATGTGCTCCCCCACCCCCCAAAAAAATAGAACCTCATCCTACCGTAGCTCATTATCATTGCATCGAAAACTATATGTTCATTCCTGTAGAATTTCAAAAATTGCTTTGTGAAACATCTACTGATTTATTCTTAATCAATATTTTTGTCACGTATAGGAAATAAAAAAAACAACATTGACGTGAATAACTGAGCTCGATGAAACTTAAACATTTTTTTATCTTTTGTTTGATTTAATGTTAAAATAAATAACATACTCGAATTCGTTTAATTCTTAATGTAAATCTATGTAGAACATCACCATTTGATTCAAATTTTAATGAACGATAAATAGCATTTGCTGCTGTTACTGTTCGATAAAGAAATGTAACAATTGCATGAATAGTTGGTTCTTTTTCCTATGTCATAATAAATAAATTTTTAAATAAAAATAAAAAACAAAAATTCTTACATTAAGACCTTCATTTTTATAAACAACATCCCAAAGTGTTGGATCAACACGTATATAAATATAACAACAAGTACGTTCTTGTTCATTTTTATTTATTATCTGTCGTTTTGATCTTGTATAACGAGATTTAATATCTATTTCTTCATATTCATCATTTATTAATCGTTTAGTTTGTTTTTCCATATTTTTTCGATTGCCATTCTTATTAAGTCCACAAAAAGATGATGATTCGTCATTTTCATTAATTACAAAGCGTTTAGATCGAAATGCATTATTACTATTAAATTTTGTCATATCAACATCAAGTGCATTGTATATAATCGATGGACCCATATTGACTAAATTTAAACCATATTTACGAGTTGGTTCGATATGCCAGGTTTCATTAGGCATTTTAATTGTACCATCAAACCAATTTGAATAGAATCCACCACTAACATAGGATGTATCAGGATGATCTAGTTAAATTATTTATATTATATAATAAAGAATTCTCGTTACAAAAAATGATTCATTTACCTAAGACATAACCATCAAAAAGAATAGAAGAATTTATTCGAAAAGTCGATGGACCAAGATGAATGTCAGCATCAGTAGCAAAATATTCATTCGTATTTTTTAAAATTAAAGTTATATTTCTAAACAATAAAAATATGTTCGTGCAATGCCTGTCGAATTAATATGTGAAATACGATTTAGTTGCTGTTGCTAAATCACAGGAAGATTTCTTTATTCTATCTATTTTAGAACACATCTCTTCATCATATTTTTACTTAATCCTCCAAAAGTATAATAACGAAGTAAGTCATATATTATAACGAGTTATTATTCATATATGGTCTATAATGGTCTCTGGCTAGGAGAGAGTGTGGGGGGGGGGGGTACATTTCTATCCTATATGTGTCAGCACGCCTTTTAGATAGTGTTTTCACAAAAATGAAAGAAATATATTTACTTATGATCTAATTCAAGTGTAAGAATACGATTAGGATTATTTTCGATAATTGAACGTTTTCGTCGATGAATATTCGTTGTTGTTTCATCATGAATAGCACGAATAACACTATAACGTTTAATGCCAAATGATGAAAGATAATCAGCATTAACTAAAAAATAAATATTTTAGAGCAAAGAAAGTTTGTCTTTTTTTGTAATGAAAAATTACCTAGTAGATGTTGATATGGCCATAAGATTCCCAAGAAAAATAGAATAGTGAGCGACCACGGCATTCATTCAGCCGTTATTCTTTCAATATCTAGAATATGTAATATCTATGTTTAATTGTCAGTCATATTCTTTGCATTAAGCATAACAATTTAACAAAACAAAAAAGATCTTGAAGTGGAGTATTAATTGATGCTCGTTCATTTCTTTTGTAAGTTTATTTTAGATATTTGACTAGAACAAAAAAAAAAAAGGCTACTCTTCATATGAAGGATTCATTTTTAGAAAGTAATAAACGTTCAAATAATAGCTGGAACAGAGGTCATATAGGTTTGTAATTAATAGAGAACGAAAGAATGTGATATCATATTCTTGATTTCAAATCACGAACGATTAGCCAGCTGATGAGAATAGAAAGAAAGAACGAACGAGAGAGAGAAAAAAAGTCTTATTTCTAAGCGACCAATCAGAATGTTAAATAATAAATAAAAAAGAACTTTTATAAATTATTAATTTTCTTATTTCATATAATACTTTTTCAAATAAATAAAACAAAAAAAAAAGAAACTATGATTATCAATTAATCATATTTAACGCCATCTATATAAATATATGTCATGAATTTAATCGAATTCATGTTAGAATTTCTGTTATTATTTTTTTATTTGCTTTTTTACTATATTAAAACCACATATTTGCTAAATAATCAAGACAACTATGATGATGACGACAACCAGTCCAACAGCTGATTACTATTTGACTATATAAGTATCGAATCTAAATAATTTAAAAGCCTTCTTCGTTATGTTATTTTCTTTTAGTATACGGGGTTTTTGTATTTTGTACTCATTCATGTAGAAAAAACAATCCTATTAGGAAAATATTATCGATCGATGCAATAAATTCCTTTTTAGATGTCATCAGCATCATTTTTTGAACAATTGACGAGCAGCGTGTCAATCTCTATTGTGTCCATTATTTCAGTGGCCACTTTAGCTGTTATATTAATTGTTACAATTGTCAGTCGAGTTTTCTTTTCTTCATCAACAAAAACACGTTCTTCTTCAAAACAGCCTTCAAGTAAAGATAAAAAAACCAAAGAAGCTAATACAAAAAAACAACAACAACAGGCTGATACAACATCAGCCAATAAGAAGAAGAATAATAAAACAAAAAAGAATGCAACTGCTACACCACCATCACCACCCGTTAAAACTGCTGTTTCATCATCATCATCATCAACAAGTTCACAATCAGAAGAAAGTGAAAATGAAAAAGTCGCTCTTGTAAAACCAACAAAAAAGGTATTGAATTATTCACTAAGAGAGTATCATCTCTTTTGAATTACTTCTGATTCTTCGCAAGAGTGCAACTGGTTGGACTCAAGATTTTACTACAACTAGATTATCGAAAAGGATGGGTTACATGTTCGAGAAAGAAGTTTTAAAAGTAGATCTTCGACGGGTTTTTGAAGATCGTTTCAAAATTCTCAGGCGATGTTTTAAAATATTTTTTCGTTGATCATGTGTTCCATCATTTTTTGATAATCTAGCTGCGTTAAAAATTTGAGCTCGACCAGTTGTACTTTCGCGAAGAACCAGAAATGATTCAGAAGAAAGGAATGTTCGTGAATTTACACTTGAAACAAAAAAGACCTTGACATTACTTATTTAGCCAATAAAATCAAACAAAACATCAACAGATAAAAAAATAGCTACTTCTAATGAAAATAACAAGTCTACCAATGCAACTGATGGAGTTAAGACGTCAACATCATCAAAACAACAACAACAACAGGCTCCTGTACGTAACGAAAATATTGATGGAATGCAAAGTGGTGATGCCAAAAAGAAACAAGCAAAAACTGTTGAAACGTCTGTACCTAACAAACAACAAACAACAAAAAAAGGTATGCTAATAGTTTGATTAGATTATAATATTATATCTATTATTTGTAGGTGATACAAGCAATAAGGTCAATACAACAACTGCAAATAAGAAACAAGCAGTAGTCGTTAATTCTGAAGTTGTGAAACGAACAGCAGTTGATGATGCAGTTGATAGTGATCACGAAGATGAAGGTCAATGGCTTACACAAAGCAATAAACAGGTTAATAATCGTAATCGTAATAAACCAAAAACTGAAACATCAAATCAAGAATCACCACCAGCGCCAACGCCATCAAATCGTAAGACAGCAATAGAAAAACGAACAACACCAACTAATAATACAGCATCATCTATAAATAAAAATGAATCTGATGTTGAAACACCAGTAACATCGAATATACCTGTTCCACCACCAGCACAAGAACCAATTGAAATTTGTCAATTATTACCAACAACTGAAAATCGTTATACAGTCAATGATGATTGGTGGAAACAAGCATTAAATAAACAACAAACATTTTCTATTGATGATATTGGTGAATGGCCTGAACGTGAACAAGATGAACAATATATTGTTCAAGTTAAACGTATTATACCAATTAAAACAGCGTTAAGTGAAAAAGATATTAATGTTGATGAAAACGATTCGATTAATAGTTATAAAAATGTACAAGATGATGAAGTATAAATTTTGTTTAAAAAAAAAAACAACAATTCGTTTTCTTTTTATTTATTTTTAGAAAATAAATTTTAATGAACAGGTTAATTCATCATCGGTTGTCACAGGTAAATAGATCATAATGAAATATTAGTTATGAATATTTATAAATTTTTTAAATAGATGAATCTACCACAGCATCTCATTCGAAAAAGAAGGGAACAAATGTGCGTCGACTTTCTTAAGCAAAAGGAAATCGAAGAAATTCTTGTTGTTTCTTTTTTTTTAATTTTATCTCCGATTATTTATCTGTTTGTTCTTTGTTTTCTTAACCTATTCTTTTCTTTCATATGTATTTCTTTGTTTTTGAAACTATTATACTACTTTGATTGCCTTTTGTTCTAGTGGTTGAAAGACTGAGGATGATTTTAGCACGCTTTTAAGTTCATGTGATTTCTTTTCTTTGTTTTTTTTATTCTTCTGCTTCTTTTTTCTGTATGATTGATGAAAAGGGTAATGGGGTCGAAGGGTAATCTTTATTTGTTAATGGGTGATTGGACGCGTGCAATTTGCATTATATAAGTTTTACTTTTTTCTTAGGTAGATCATATTCTTCAACAGTAATTTTTCTTTTATCGTTTTTCTTTTCTTTTTTGTTGTTGTTTTGTTGATTGGAGTGATAAACAAAAAAGAAAGAAGGAAAAAAAGAACTGTTGCCTGATAATTTGACACTTCCGAATTGTTTAGTAGTTGTTTATGGTTATGATTTCTTTTTTCTTTCTTTTATTGTTTTTCTCTTCTATATAACCATTGTTGTGTTGTTTTTCTGCTATCTTTTCTTGTTACTTACAGTTCTAGAAAAGAAAAAAAAAACTATGAAAAGGTGAATTTTTTTGTCTACACTTCGCTACTGTTCTTGCCGTTGTTGCTTTAGAAAAAAAACAAAACATTTTCGTTTTAACGAAAACAATATGAAAGGAATAAACGATTGTATAGCCAAAAATCATGATTTGAAAAGACAAACCACCTTCAAATGCATATATGATTGATTATGTTAGATTAGAAAATAACTCAAATAGAAGTCTTCATGTGTATTATTAGTTGATGTAATATGTATTGAATTATGATTAGATTCATAATTTATTTCTAAATTTTGGAATTGAAATCTATGAAACGATTCTACAACAGATTTTTTCAGTCAGTAAAGCATTTCAATAGATAATCCTATTTCTGTCTGGATAAAATGTACTTATTTTTGTTTTGTTTTGCATTTCCTTACTACGACATTGCAAATTTAGAGAGTTTATTATCAAATACATTCAATTTTTTAGTCCGATATGTGTGTAAAAAAAACCAATAGATTTTTCATTGAGAGAATATTCTTGTCAAGATCTCTGTTATTGATGTTCAGGATAATATGACAAATAAAACATTATTTTACTGATAAAATAGCTTGATTTGTTAAAAAGTATCTAACATTTTCTTACAGTTAATTTGTTGTTTGACCAAACCAAATATGCAAAGAATAATAAGATTCCCAATATACAAAATCTTTTTTTCTGTCGATAAGTTCTTCTATAAAATCTGACCAAGGCATTGATCGATCAGAAGAAGCTAAAAGTGTAAGACTCCATAAATGTTCATGGTGATTGACGATCATTTTCATACTGTTAATATCTTTTACAGTTACTTCTAAATATTTTATATGATAGGGAATCATTGAACAAATATTTTCCATGTCTATAACATCATCATAAGAAGAATAAGGATGTATTGCGAGTGTACTTAGATTATAGGCTAATCCCATCAGAATTTGAATGCTGTTTAATGTATTATGAATAGATTTGTGATTTAAATCAGGATTAAAAGTGATTTTATCGAGACGAGAAAGATCGATTATTTTCGAAAGAAATTCAACACATTCTAATGACCATTCTTGATCCACATCTATTGTTAACTTAGTTAAATTGCGAAATAAGTACTGACTTGGCATTATGTTCTATAAATATAAAATAGATCAATTTCTTTTGAAAGTAGATTAAATTAATGCATCTATATATATATTTCAATTAAAGTTCTAAAATTTCATTCTTACAGTTTGAAAGAAATAAAAAGCAACTCATTATAGCAGTAATTTATTAGTCTATTCAAAATATTTCAAAAGAAAGAATTTCATTACCACTATCATAAATAAGCTTTAGACATTATTTAAAGACTTCTTTTTTAAGAAGTCATTAAATATCTATTGAATACTGATTTATTCATATGACTAGTATCAAAGAAGATAGTTTGCAATAATTTAAACATACCTTCATTGTAACGACACCAGCCATTAATTTCGTTAAAGTTAAGTTTATTGTATGTACGTTCTCTGTTATTATAGCATCGGTTTCTATTGTGAGCATAGTAGAATATGAAATTTTATTTGCTTGACATTCATACGTAAAGTCAGTACTACATAGTGGTGTTGTATAGAGCATAATCTGATTGAGATAACCAATGTAATCACAGATGACAAACCAATGTTTCTGTTCGAGCCAAAATGGTGTTTGAAATCGAGAGATAAGCNCATTATAGCAGTAATTTATTAGTCTATTCAAAATATTTCAAAAGAAAGAATTTCATTACCACTATCATAAATAAGCTTTAGACATTATTTAAAGACTTCTTTTTTAAGAAGTCATTAAATATCTATTGAATACTGATTTATTCATATGACTAGTATCAAAGAAGATAGTTTACAATAATTTAAACATACCTTCATTGTAACGACACCAGCCATTAATTTCGTTAAAGTTAAGTTTATTGTATGTACGTTCTCTGTTATTATAGCATCGGTTTCTATTGTGAGCGTAGTAGAATATGAAATTTTATTTGCTTGACATTCATACGTAAAGTCAGTACTACATAGTGGTGTTGTATAGAGCATAATCTGATTGAGATAATCAATGTAATCACAGATGACAAACCAATGTTTCTGTTCGAGCCAAAATGGTGTTTGAAATCGAGAGATAAGCGATTGAATATCTCTAGATTTGTAGTAAACATTGTATATATTTGTAAAGAAGAATTCAAATTTATGCAAAAGAAGTAAATTTGCACTAATAAATTGTTCCCAATGATATCCATTAGCAATAGTATCAAATGAATCCGGTAAACATATGATTTTCAAATAAATCAATGAAGGTGTTAAGGAAAGAAGTGATGTAAGCTCATTCATTGTCAGTCGACTGTCAGTTAATATTAATGATGTTAATTGCTCATATAAGATAGGAACAGACAATGTTGCAATATATTCATCGATTTTATGCATTGAACAATGATTTAATGTTAATGTTTTTAAATTAGGTGTTTCTCGAAGTATATTGCAATATTGTTTTTGTGTTACATACATCAATATAAGATGTTCTAGTGTATATTGTACTGGCCATAACATTTCTTCGATAGCATATGATCCAGTTTTAAGTTCAAGTTTGCGAAGATTAAGTCGATTTAATATTGATGAGAGAAGATTTAAAGTTTTGTTAGTAGGACAATGAGCTTCTCGCCAATTGATCACTAATGATGTGATTGTTGATGTTATGTTCGAATGTAGAATTTTATTTAGATTATCTTCATCGATTCCAAAAAGAGTTAATGAGAGTAATCGAGTAAATTGATCAATGTTAAACAATGAAAAAAACAATCTAATTTCACCTGGTGTCTTATTTTCATCAGAAAGTGTCAATGAAAGAATATTTTCGGGTTGAATAAATTGACAAATATAATGAAAATCATTTTTTGAAATTGAACGAAAATCGAGTTGATATCTATTGTAGGTATTAGATATTACTCGAAAATATGTACATACATTAGAAAATGATAGAAAAATAGTTGATATATCAAGATAATCAATAATATGATACAAAATCTCGACTGGTAAGGTTAAAAGCGACGAATTATATGCCATAGACATGATTATTAAGATTTTCTTCACTTGTGAAAAACTCTTTCAGTTCTAGAATTTCATTGATTTATAAATTCAACGTATGAAAAATTCATAATATCACTCCATTCTACAAGAGAAGATGCTTTTTAATATGATTTTGTCAAAAATAATACCAGAATAATAACTGAATGAATTGTAAAATATAGTTATATATCTTGTTGTTATCGATGTTATCAAAGAAGAAATATGTCCATTAAGAAGACTGAACTCGAAAAAAACAAAACAAATAGGAAGATGTAGAAAGAGAAAGAAAGAGGAAAAAATCCATATGGTCTTATGTATTTATGATGTATTCATACGTAGTAGAATAGCTATCTCTTTAGCGACATTTGTTTTTCTCATAAGAAAAAAAAATGTATCTCAAAAAGAAAGAGGAAAAGATTGATGTTTTCTCTTCTTTGTTTTTTGTATATAACAAGTCACATGAAAAAAAATAAGCAATCAGCTGTCTTTGTTTGTAGAATTATCTATTGCATTATGTCTATTGTTTGATACTTATGTTCAAAATCATAGCATCATATAGTTTTTGTACTTTTCTCAATTATGATATTAAAAGAGAATAAATTACATTTAATATAACTAAATTTTTCAATCGATATTTTATGATTGATATTAGTGATGTATCAACAGAGTGTATAATATTGATAATTCTGCATAAATACCACATTTAGTTGAAAAACAGCATAATATAACTCTTGATAATTATTCGACGCGTTTTAATCATAATCAAGTGTAGCTTTAAGAGAAAAACCAACATTCTCTAATTTCTTCTGTCATTCATCATGTGTTTGATATTGAATCAAATTTCGTATATTTAGTGATGTTTCATTTTTTTTAAAACTCCTAACCAGTCGTACGATTTACAAAATTGTCATCAGATTCAATTTTGTTTTGGTTCAAATGGTTTTCTTGAAAACCAGAAAATTCAATTAATCGACAAGACTAAAGTATTTCAAACATGTAAAAAGTCTCCTTTCTGATTATATTTGATTGTACTCAAACAATTTATTTGCATGTTTATTCGAAGTTTAATTTGATCTATTATAAAATATTTCAAATAACTATTTTGTATACACAAATCCTTTTTCTTACACTCTCAATTATCGAAAGACGCGAACTAGTTGCTTGTTCAATTGCTTTGGTAAGCAAAGCATTAATAAACCAATTATGAAAAAGGAAAACTAACAAGATCGATGATCGATGGATTTAAGTTAACATTTTCGAATGCTACTTTATCATTTGGATTATTATAATCTTTCCACAAAAAAGTTTTCTTTATTCAAATTCAAATACTTGCAAATCTCACGAGAAAAGTTCTGTAAGTGACGAATCACTTTTTTCATAGAGACATACATTACTGAATGCAGTGTACTGTGTTGATTCTGAATATGAAGGCCTCAGTGATTTCTAGGTCTTCCTAGACTTCATATCACGACTACCATCTCCTTCTGACAAGGATACTTTTCATCAAATTCAAGTTTTAAACAATCCATATTATATTACTAGACAAAATATCCGCGTGAATAGTTCTTTTTCAGACGTATCAACCTTAAGTTTCAAATACTAATCTGTAAAGCATCGAAGTAATTCGTATATTGACTAAAAAAGAGTCATCTGGTATTTGTTCTCATTTCTTCATCAAATATTCACACACCAATCATGTCAATACTATGTATAGCACGATATATATAACAATAAAAGAAATAAAGCAAAAGAGAACATCATATATAAATCATAGGGCGAAAGATAGTATACTGGATGATCTATAACTATACTCTAGATGTGAGAAAAAAGTTTCTGTACTATTAATTGAAAGAATGAACAGAGATCATTACATCGATAAATAACTAATGAAGAAACTGTGTCATGAGTATTGGACTACTTTGAGATACATAGAAAATTGACACATATATATATGTATATGTTGTAGGCCAAGTCTAGGATTTGCCGAGACTATTCTAACATCCGAGTTTGGACTAGTCCATTCTGGAATCTAAGTGTGGCCTAAATTTTTTCTAGATCAATCTTGGATTCGAGAATACCCTAGACCAAACTAGGATAAGTTTATTCGATTATACATTTGATCTCCACTATAATGAGAGCTATATTATAAGTATACAAGCATTGGAGGAGATAACAAACACGAGTTATACCTTGTGAATCAGAATTAGACTGATACTCGAATAAAAACGATAAAATTGCATGTGCTCATGGCATTATAGATAAATGATAGACAGCGAGTGTTTTGATGAGTTCGTCTGCTGCACATCAAGAACTCGTCATATACAGTTGACCGATTTACACAAGATGTCGATGAACAGTGCATTCAAATTATATGTTCGAGGTATTATCAACGGTGTCTACAGTTTAGGTAAAGAGGGATGCAATAACAGCTTGTGTGCTTGTAAAAGAAATCAAATTTTCTGTTCAATATAAATTGTCATGAAAAAATTATTTATCGTAAAAATACGATGGAATAAAGAAATTTATTGTCTTTTTAGTTAACATTCATATTAGTTTTTCACTTTGTTATGCCATTCACTTAATGAGTGTCAGTTGTAGTTTGAGTTATTAATCACTCTTCCTAGTTTGTACTAGGCGAATTTTAGATTGATCAAAATGCGAAATTGACCTACAACATATATATATATATTATGACAAATGGAACTGAAATACCTGATCGCAAAATATAACTGATTGTAGATCAGAGAATAAAACTTGAATAAAACAAAATTATTAGGAGAAAATTTTTTCGAAATTAAACAATAAATAAACTGTTGTTTTTCTTGAAAATCATTTAACTTCTTGCTCCAAAAAAAGATGGAAGAATCTTCTATTACACTGGATGACGTAAATGAATTACAAAGTAATTCAAAATAAATGAATTATATAATAATTCTCTGTCAAATATTTTTTTATTAATGTAAGCATCAGGGTCTACCAGGGTCTACTAGGGTCTATTAGTGTCTACCAGGATCTATCAGGATCTATCAGGGTCAACTAGCGTGTGGGTGTGAGAGAATGCCGACACACGCAAATACACACACACAGGCACTCGAGGGCGAATCTGACAAGTGTGATTGTCAGAAAACGTTTAATGCCCGCCCTACCCCCTCAGAATCGACTTGCCACTTTGGAGTATAGGTTTCGGCTGAAACTTTCAGGAATGAATGGTCTTGTTGAGAAACGCTCATGCTAAAAAATTCAGCCATGTATACCTTACTAAACTAGACTTACGACTTGTTTTATTGATCTCAAGAGAATCGAAATAACTCCATAAGTATGAGAGCTACCGAGGTCGGATCGGTTTTAAATTAAAGCCAGCCTCCATACGCAACCTTTCATCGGACAGAATTTTGAAATTCACTTCTGTTCATTTTTTATAAGCGTTTTATTCTGTATAGCTCTCAAATGAGGTTTAAAAAACTCAATAAATCGGACTTTTCTTAGTCCAGGAACGTAATATCAAAAATGCGTCCGATGAAAAGTTAGGTCTCATTGAGATCTTTAAAACACAAAACAATATCGTGGAATGCCGGAGCCAAGCTGGAGTTATTTCAATTTTACTGTTTCAAAACCATGTTTTGAGAAAAACGCTAAATAAGTTTTGGAAATGGAGTTCTTCATTCAATTCCAGAAAAATCATATTATGATGAAATATTTGTAATATACTTCAGTCACATGTTTAAAAGCACGTAACCGATTACGTAAGCTAATGCCATCTGTCATGCTGGTTAACATAAAAATATCCTATTAAATGCTGATTCAAGTGACAACTCAATTTTTCAAAACTTGGTAGTGAAGTCCTATTTTCTTCCGATAAGTTGATGAAAATCTAACCGTTTTGCGAAAAGCTACATATATTCAGTCTGTGATGGGTCCAAATCTTGTCTATAACGGTCTGTGACACCCCAAAACCTGTCTGTAACGGTCTGTGATTGTGAATTAGTTAATTACATATTAATTAATTAATTAAAATGTCTGTAACGGTCTGTGGGGCGGGGGGGGGGGAGAGGGGGAGTGGGTCCATAATTCCTAACCTAAACACTTCAACACTCCTTTAGGTCGTGTTTCATAAAAGAGAAAGCTTCCGCGCATCTTTTTATGATAAAAAATCAATGCCAACTTTTTTCCGACAAAATGGGTTTCCTGAGAGGGGAACCCCTTAATCACACAAACAAACACACACACACGGGGACACACTCAAGGTGGCATCTGACGATTGTGGGTGTCACAAAAGCGCTACTCACGCAGGCAAAGTCACCACTGTTGGAGTTAAAACTAGCTGAGTTATACCTGATCAACTTTTCGGTCAAAAAGTTAATTGAGTTATAACTATCAACTGTGGTTATAACTTTCAACTTCTTAATTTGTTGAGCAGATTTAATTAAGTTGAAAAGATAATCACTCTGATTTATTGATATACTCGATAGAATAGATGAAAATACAAGTATTTGAAATATCTTTTACTTCAAAAGAGCAATATTTCAGAATTCTTTTTTGAGTACTTTTTAATGTATGTTTTTGCCATCTATGTTTTCTTCTACTTATACACCGAGCTTGAGCATAGGTGTAAATAATATATTTTTCATTATAGAATCAATGATTATCTTCAAATTGCGAGCACCTGAGAAAAATATTTAAAAAAAAGAAACCATTTTATATAATTATAATTTGATTTATTTGAAACAGCAATCATTTTCAATCTATATTGTGAGGAAATTAAGTTAAGATTCCATATCGTATCGTGATGTATGTTTTATTCCAATACGAAATCACTGTATCAGGTTATTTTGTCTTCACTTTTATACGTTCGCTATTAATTATATTAACACGTATAAAATTATACTTTTTTCTCGTTTCTCCTTATTGATATGTCGATGAACGAAGAACAGAAACAGGAGAATAAAGAAATCAAGATGATAAGTGCAAAGGAAACAGAAAATTGAAAGAATAGAAGATGCAAACATTATCTTTTTATAAGACAAAGGCGAGGAAAGACCCTTGTTGCATTATTCAGGAGGAAAAGTGACTGATATCATGCTGATGTAAGTGGGAAACGATGAGTTGTGATTTAGTGATTTAAAATGAGTTTGAATGATTTAATTTGAGTTTCAGCTGAGTTAAATCAGTAGTTTCCCCTTGCGTTGATGCCTGGAGGAACCTCGCTTATTTGTGACACGGACATGACTAATAGTTTTAGTTAGTCTGAAATCATGAACAATGTTAACAGCACTGTTGATTAGTGATTCTAGTGAAACTGGTAGCAATTATAAAGTTCACAACTATAACTACGGTCAAAAGTTGTAATTACAGTTGATAGTTATAATCCATGCTGTAGGTTATAGGTACGGCTCATAGTTACGTCCCTGGTTGATCTTATAGCTGTGACTGAAAGTTGTGATAATTGCAACTTTTGACCGATCTTAGATTATTATGAAAGTTTCAAAGGTACAGTTTCTATTCAAGACAATGTATGCTCGACTAGTATATTCTGAATGAAAACAATTGTAATTCCGAGTTTCCTTCAAAGTTGTCATCATAGAAAAAACCCTTAACGTCACCGAACAAAGAATAAATTGCCTCATCGATGCTCGACATATAAATAGAAGAAAACATAGATCGTAAATGAATGCACTAAGAAGTACACACAGAGGAATTCTGGATGAACGAACAATTCATTGCAGGACAATCTGTCACATGAACAACTCGTTGCAAATCAGTTCGTTGTTATGACATGATTAAATAATAATTTATATCTATTTTTCAACAATGAAGCGATTATTAAGTAAAGTTTGAAATATGTAATCTAATGACTATAAAATCGACCAATCTAGTTTTAAATATATACAATAACAGATGATTCCTTAAGGCCTCCCCCACCTCCAGAATCTATTTTTGAAACAGTGCACGGGATTGCCATACAAATTTTCACAAATGTTGACACCTTGAAAGTAAAGTTACGAAATTAATTTTACGCTGCTAAATCTCAGCGTTCATGAGTTCTCTAGAGACCAAGGGCCAAAATGGGGCCTCTGCCCGGGCACATTTTCTTTTACTATACTTCAAGGTACAGAGCCCGGGATTATTTTATTTGAAAGACAACTCCTTACCCCTTCGGATGAGGGGAAGGTATTTTTTTACTGACGCTTTCTTCAATATTGGGAAGCGTCAGAACCTCTANGCCGACGCTAACGGGCCCACATAAGCAGTCAGGTTCTTTCGTCTTTTTCTTTTTACAGACGGCGATATCTGCACTTATTCCGTCCAACGTACTGACTAGCGATATATTCAGCACGTTACGAATGAGTCATTCAAGAGAACTTAGCCGTTAGTGACTTGTTCACCCAGTGAAAAATATTTGTAAAAATAACGTAAGAGAACGCATTCATAAAAATGTAGAGACTTGTCTTTCACATGAAGAATGTGTTCTACAGCTTAGTGAACGTTTTCACAAACAAAAAGAAAAGTTCTAAGTCTAAAGGAACTCATTCCTTACTGTTCCACACTAGTACGGAATACTTTCTTCTCAGTTCAAAAATCGTTCTCTATCTGGATAGAAAACGCTCTAAGCCGTTCCATGAGCCAATAGAACGTGTCTCTGCCCATTCTATTTCGAAACAGTCGAGATAGAGTTCCATCGAAATGAGACCCCTTTTTTAACATTCTCTTGAGAAACACCTGAGAATGGATTCTTTTGACTGATGAACGCTTTCATCTGAATTTAACGTCACTTTTGATTCAAAAATGACAGCTCTGAAGTATGACACCCTGAAACTGGTGCCGAAAATGGTGGAACCTTCAATTAGTCATACTTTACAACTGGCAGTCCTGATTCCAAAAAAATTTTTTTTTAAGAACAGTTTCAGCTACGAAAAACTAGAGCATACCATTGGATAGAGCTCGTCGAGTTGCACCAGAATCGATCTTTCAAAAAGTTATGTCTGACCTTCTCTTCGAGAACTCTTATAGTCACTGGATGATGGAAATGAATTGCAAAGTAATTCAAAAAAATTGAATTACAAAATAATTCGAAATTTTTATATTCTACCAGGACCTCCAGGATCTACCAAGATCTGCCGGGGTTTATTAAGGTCTACTACAGTCTCGATGTGGGTGCCACAAAACAACTTACATCACGTCTCTCTTGGTGTGGGTGCGGCGAAGTGACTTACATCACGTTTCCTTCGATGTGGGTACTGCAAAACCCTAGTAGACCCTGGTAAATCCTGGAGATCCTGCTAGACTCCGGTAGATCATGGTAGATTCTGGAGGTCTTGCTAGACTCTGGTAGATCCTGGAGGTCCTGGTAGATCCTGCTAGACCTTGGTATATGAGAATAAACTTCTTATAATTATATGCATATACTTCTATAAATATGTATAATCGAAATTTTGAATTACTTTGTAATTCATTTGCGTCGTGAACTCTTCTATTATGTTCAATTCTGTGAAGATGTCTAGGAAATCTTGTATAATGTTCCACTTCTTTTTTTTTTTTTTTGAACAATTATTTAACACAAAGATATGCTAAAATGAATAGCGAATTTTTAACAAAATTCTTCTGAATAAAAAAGAGATGATTTCTTTTTTTTATAAAATATTTACTTTGCAAGAATTTTCCAGGCTAAACGATGAAAATTAGGAATATCAGAGAAATTTGCGATTACTTAATTAATGAAAGATATTCTATTTTGCAAGAGAATTCAGTAATGACGAACATAATATATTAAAATATGCACCATCGTTGTTTAATATCGATAAGATGATGCATATAAATGTCTGTCATCTTTGTCTGTTTCTTATCAAACATAGAACTCTTATTGCACTGAAGAAAAAAAAATGTTTTCATCATTTTTATTTTTTATTTTATTTATATAAATGAACTAAAAATTCTATAGAAATTAAAGAAGAGAATAGAGAATAATCATTTGATTGTTGAACTATTATTTTTAGAAAACTACTGAAATTTGAAAAAGAGGACTTTGTAATCAATATCGAAGTTAATTACCGTGTATGTATATACGTCAACAATAAGGGTTTGAAGAGAAGAGACAATGTTTTTCTCGTCCTGTAACACGTTGCGAAGGTCCACTATTTGAAGAAAAACATTTTGTCTATTAGAGAATTGAAAATTATTTTTTTAAAATAAGTTCTTAGAAAAAAATTGTTTATTTTTAATTTGTTAATATATATATAATAAATAAATATTTAATGAAATTCTTTATTATGTAGATAACAATGTATCCTTTAACAACCAAAGAAGAAGAAAATTTACAAATAAATATAGCTGATGGAGTTTCTACTGTCGAAGAAACATATGATGATATATCAATACATCATAATGGAATATATTGGCGACTACTTTTTCTGAATTTGGTTGTATTATGGGCATATCAATCATTAATTTCTGCACAAAATTATTATAGCAAATTTTTTCCTCTTGCTCATTTAGATTTTTGGGGAACAGTATCAGCTGGTTTAAGTATGTTGTTGCTTCATGTGATTCAATTATATTTTGGTGTTTATAAATATGGATTTACAAAACGTGTTATACCTGGTTTTATAGGTTATATTATTATTGCAATTTTAGTTATGGCTTTAAAAAATAAAATTGTTCTAATTGTTGCTTTTGCAAGTGTTGGTGCAATTAATACAATTACAGAATCTCCTATTTATGGTATTGCAGGTTTATTTACAACTGGTTCATTTACTCAAGCTGTTCAAGTTGGAAATGGTATGGCTGGATTTTTAAATGTTTGTGCAAATACAATAATTCGATTGATTGTTTTACTTGTTCATAGTAAAATCGATCAAGATCAATTATCATTTTATATATTTATGAGTGTATTAATAATATTATGTTTTATAGCTATTTATGTTTATTATCGTTTAATACATATTCCTCCAGTTAGTATAAGAATAAGTCAACAAATGGCTTCATTTCGACGAGAACAACTTCGTAATGTTATGGAATTAGATTTTCATGAAGATCATCATGAAAATCAACTTTCATTTTGGGAAATAATAAAAATTTTAGCAGTTCATCTATTTATTCAATTTTATGTATTATTTATAAGTTTATTATTATGGCCAGGTATTCCATGTAGTGCAACAAATAATGGCTGGTTTAATTCTAGTGGTAAACTATGGTGGTGTTCACCTTTTATTATTGGAACATTTAATCTTGGAGATCTTATTGGTCGTACTCTTGCTGTTAAAGTTCATAAATATTTTTCTGCAAATATTTGTTTAGTTTGTGCACTTTTAAGAAGTCTATTTATTCTAATAATAGGTTTTCGTCATCATATAGATAATATACTCCTTCTTTGTTTAATAACACTAATGGGAACAACAAATGGTCTTCTGGCAACAGTTACGTTTATGGTTCGTCCTCAAACAATTGTTGGTGTTAATAATTGTGAAAGAGCTGCTTATTTAATGACAGCAGCTCTATACCTTGGAATTGCATGTGGATCTATTGTTGCAGCTGGCTTAGCATTGCTTCATGTTGTTTAATGGAATTTATTCTTAGCACAACAATAAATATTTGTATTTGAATAATAATTAAATACGAAGTTTAGTTTAAATTTATCATCATCAATATTAAAAATCATTTTAGGTCTATTGAACATTTTCTGAAGAGATCAGAAAACGTCAAAGAACGTTTTTTGTTTTCGCTCTGTCTTACATTTTACAGGACACAGAAAATAGCATAAAAAGTTCGTCCTGATAGGACAATATATTGACTGCTTTTTTGACAAGGAAAAAGACTTGTCCACACATATTAGGTACAACGTTAAATATCACAGACACACTATTTTTTATAAAAAAACATACAATATAATCATGTTAATAAACCTTATCACATGTTTTCTAGCAGAAATGAAATGAAGAATAAAAAAAATATTTGACATTCATACGGTGAACAAAACAAATATATCGATACAGAATTCAATAAGTAATTAATATAAGCAAATCGACAATGAGAAAGAATAAGTTTTCTTTTTATTATCTTTTCTTGAATTTTTTGTATGAATGACTAGATAATATGTTATCAATTTGACTTGCTGATAAACATATTCGTCTTTGAGTAAATATCAATTCAGCTGAGATAAATAATATTTCAATCAAAGTAATAGTTAATTGGTATGGCATCTACTCTTCTGACTACTATTGATCTTAATGAAAAATCCACATGAGTCCTACTACAAGACTAGAACTTCATTCAATTACAATCGATTAGGTGATTTCGATGTCCTGTAGGATACGCGCACTATGATGTTCTTTGAAAGAAAAAATGTTTACAGCATTTTATTGAATAGAAATTGCACATATTAATATTTTCAAAGAAAACAAAAACGTTTTCTTTATTCAAACAAAACACTTTTTGCTCATATCTGAAGGCAATAATCAAATCAGAAATGTTTCTCGATTGAACATTCAAATTAATGTTCATCACAACAGATATTCTCACGGAATTTATTTTCGAAAATAAATTCCAATTAATAAAAAAAGCATCAAACTTGCATTTGAATAAAATTTTCAAAAATATTTGTGTTTATTGATGGACGTTTATTTAATGATAATCGATTTAATCCTGAAACTAATGGATTTGTTAATTTATATTCGACATAAACTTAAGAACAGCCTTTTTTGAATTTAATTTAGAGTATAGTCTAGTTATATTTATGTATAACATCATTAAAAAAATACAATCTTATTTTAGAAAAAAAAAATATTAAAAAAGTAACTTTATCTATCAGTGATTTTTTTTAAAGAGTTGAAAGATCTTCTATACTTCTTTCAATTTGATTTGACTTACAATTTAAACTAGCAATTAAATGTGATGTGGGTACTACCGTTAGACGCAAAATTTCAAGAGTTTGTTGATCGTTTTTTCCTTTTTGTATGAGTATCAAAACAAACCAATGCGACGGAGATTAATCATGTTCATACACTTAATAAACTAAGACTTATCGAGTAAGACATCTTTTTCAGTTTTGGATTTGAATATTTCAAGTGAAGTCAATTTAATTTGGTTTAAAATGTACAACAAAAAACAATTAATTTCGTTTTTTTCTTTATTTGATGTATTTAACTTTTATGGGTAAAGTAATCAATTGTATATAACCATTCAAAATAAAGAATCTTTACAAGAGTTTTGATCATAAAAAAAGAAAAGGCAGCTAAATGTAAAATATATATATATGAACTTTCGTTATTTAACAAATCGTAATATTGCGATGCCGATTCATATCAGGCGTCATTATTAGACAGATAAAAAAATTTATGCATATATATCTTACTGTTAGCTGTATTATGTTTCGTTTTACTTACGAAAAGAATATTTGACCCGAACTTAATGTTGTAAACGAAAGAAAAAATACGTACAAATCGAATAGAATAATTTATGCTTAAGTTTAGAGATGAATGTTTGCCGTAGTATAATAACTACAGTATTTCAATTTGTCTAATCGAGGAACTGGTTAGAGCATATTTGCTTATAAATTATGATTTTCTTTAACTTCTTTTTTTGATGTAGCACACTTAAAATGTCGCCGAATTTTTTCGATTTCTTGCTGTCGAGATGTACAATTTTTGTTCTCTTGCAATGTCTGTTTGCACAAAGATATGCAAAAAGAAATAGATGACTATTACATAAATGATCGTTTCTTCATACTTTTCTTTTTTTAATTTTTATTGTTCCATTCGCATAATTAGAAATGATAATTAATACCTGAGATTATTCTATAATTACTTTGAAAAGAAAAGTAATCATATCTCTCATAATCGTTCATTTATTTTGTTTGAATATTGAAATATTATTTTATTAATGAATTAAGTTTGTATTATGAAGTACATTTCATAGAAAACAGAATGTCCGCGGTAGTATAGTGGTTAGTATCCCCGCCTGTCACGCGGGAAACCGGGGTTCGATTCCCCGCCGCGGAGTAACTTTGGAACTGTTCCCATATTATGTCA